CTTGAGTTCATAGAGGTCCCAAGCACAGGATGAACCTTGCAGTTCACCCCAGGGAAGGCAGTCCTTGCCTCAGGTGTCCCCATCATCATACAGGGGAGTTAGCAAGGTATCTAGGCACCTGACCCCAAAACATGCAAGTTCCCCCACCTTATTAGCCAGTCTGCTGGGACCTACATGTTAGGACAGTCAACAAACACTGCACCAGAGCTGTTCAGCACACTGGAAAATCCCAAGCCAGGCCTTAAAGAAATTAGACAAGCCAGGAAAAAAGGTGTAGATACATACCCCAATCTATAATGTAAACTCTTCAAGAGTTTTTCCTAAATGATTTTCACTTACCAAAAGAATACCTGAAAAACAAAAGAAAAAAATGTATTATAATTTTGGCTTGCTTTGATCAAAAACTTGTAAGTTAACCCAACAGGTTTCTGATGAAGCACAGCCCACCCTTTCGAGCTCAGCACAGTGTGGAGTTAGTGCAGGTGTGAGGACCTGCCTGCCAGGTGCTGGGAGCAAAGCCCCCACCTCCCTGAGCCAGCAGGGCCAGGTGGTCAAAGGGGCTACAGGATGAGCAGATACCACACCTGGTATTTCCGGGGAAAAATGACTTTAGCCACCACAGCAAATGTTATTTTCTGGACTATGAAAGTTTAAAGGGCATCTATTACTCCAAACACAGGTCACTGGGAAAGGGACTAAAGTGGAAGAAACATGGTAAGCTCCGTCTCCATTGCTAATGGTTGGAAAAGGGCCTGTGTCTCCGCTGGAATCATGGTGGGACAAAGAGGTGGCACACCACGTGTCTCTATGCAGTGATTCCCTTTTTATCCCTGGAGATTGAAGACCCAACAAGCAGTCAGCACAAGTGCAGGACCCAAAGCATGAATGAGTCCTTTGCCAAAATATCCCCTATTGGCTTCTGGAACAAATGTGCACCAGCTGCGCCACTGCAAGAGGAATGACATGCTGCCACAGGATGCCCGGCAAGAAGCCAGGCAGAGGCCATACACATGAGATTCTGCAGATATGAAGGGTCCAGACAGCAAATCCACAGATGGACAATGGACAGAGTTTGCAGAGGCTGGGGGTATTGAGGTAGGGGATAATGGGGGTGGGTAGGTCAGTGCTAGATACAGGTGTCTTTTGGGGTGGTAAGGATGTTTTAAATTTAGACAGTAGTGTCAGTTCCAGGACTTTGATATATAAAAGCATGGATGTACACACTTTAAATTTTACCTATATGAATTACCCCTCAAAAAAAGACATGTGGGGAACATCGTTGCTCAGTGAAATACTGATCAATGGTAGGCAAGGGCTGAGGCCCACCTTCACACCCTCAGGCCTGGAAGGAAGGAGAGCAGGCTTTCCCAAGCAGGGCCACTGTAGGTCAGGAGATCCTGAAGTCTCCTGCTCTCATACATTTCCCGCCATGAAAAGTTAGGCTACAAAACAGCATGGGTTGTGACAGGGGCAGACATTCTAAATGCAAGGGAGAAATGAGTGGGACTGAGCAACAGATGATTCTGTTGTGGCTGCTGTTGTAGAGACTGAACCTGGACCTTCACTTTGAGCTATGTCCCTGGCCTGTTCAAAATTAACTAATTAATTTGAGATTAAGGTCTCACGAAGCCATTAAATTGCCTTCACTGGGCTTGAACTTGCAATTTTCCTCTCTCAGGCTCCCAGAGTGCTGGAATTTCAGGTGTGTGTCCCTGTACCTGGCAGATGGCTCTTTTTTATAATTCTTTCACATGTGCTGATGGCCTGGTAGTTCCTGTATTTTATTCTATTTCAGGGCAGCTAGAATTCCCTGGTATGGAATCTGTCTTAGTTACTTTTCTCTCACTGCTGGGACAAAATACCCAACATCCAAAATTAAGGAAGGAAAGGTTTATTTAGCTCACAGTTTGTGGAGGTTTCAGTCCATATTCAGCTGGCTCCAAGGCAGAGTGGCACATGGCAGAGGGCAGCAGTTCATGGCAGCAGAAAGCAGCAAAACAGCAAGAGTAAAAGGGCAGGAGCAGTGGCAGCAGCAGCAGCAACAGGGAGCAAGTCTGTCTTCCTTATGTTGCATTCAGGCTGTCTGCCCGAGGCCAGGTGTAGCACTCACGTCCATAATCCCAACAGCATTGGCAACCATAATCCCAGCACTGGATTGTGAATTAATCACAATCTCTAGAAGTCTGCCCCATAACACCACATGAGGCTTTGTGAGAGACAATTAGACACAAACTATAATATAATCTTAGGATTTTACTATTGTGTTGGCTTTTAAGGCAGTTCCAGGTCACTGGGGCATGGTAGCACATGCCTATAATCCCAGCATGCTGGGAAACAGAGACAGAAAATCCAAGTTTGAGCCCAGTACAGACACATACTACTTACATGTAAAGTAACACATGTCTGAGATTTCCTTTACTCAAAAACAGAAAAGCTGGAAGCAGACAGGTCACCCCTGGCTGCGTGCTACTCTTTGCTTCTGAACATGCTTCTATATGTCTGTAAGGACATTTTAGCCACTGAACACAGGGTTAATGACATAACAGACTTAGCCAATAAAGTCTTCTAACAGATTACCTTGCTGAACAAAGGAAAAAGGACCGATGCTTAAAACAAAAACTTGAAGTTCCCATTTTTATCACATCAGATGGTAAGAAACACAGGGTGCCCAAAGATGTTCCCACCTTCATGTCTGCTGAGGGTGTTTGAAAATGGTTCTTTTGTGACATCACCTGTTTTGAATATAAAGGCTGTCTGCTATACCCCGCCCCCCATATTAGGTTGTTTTAGGTTATTAAGTAAAATAGAAAATCTTCCTGACTTTGATAGTTTTTATTTTATTTATTTTGGCAGCTAGAATTTGACTTCTCTGGAGTGGATCCTGGGGGTTGTACTATTGTGTTGTCCTTTAACAAAGTTCTAGGCCAGTGGGACATGGTGGTATACACCTATAATCCCAGCATGCTGAGAAGCAGAGACAAGAGAATTCAAGTTTGAACTTAGCCTGGGAAATTTAGCAAGACCCAGTCTCAAACTAAAAAAAGCAAAAGGGCAGGGGATATAGCTCAGTACGAAGGTCTTTGTTTCAATCTCCACTACCCACCCCATACACACCAAAAAAGAAAGGAAGAAAGAAAGAAAGAAAGACAGACAGACAGAGATAGACAGACATACAGACAGACAGACAGACAGACAGACAGACAGACAGACAGACAGACAGGAAAGTTTCCAGGCATTTTCTGCCTCCTAGATACCAATTGGCTCCTAGCTGCTTTTCCATGCTGTGCTGCTCTGGCATCTTCTCAGCCAACTCTGATGCACCCAAATGACAACTTACTAGACATCTCTGTATTCAAAGTAGCAGCATGAGAGGGACCCCGACAGCTGCCTGTCCTAATGAACACCTTCATGTCTGGCAATGATGCTCTCCCCATCTGACCACCCTACTGCTGGGGAATTAGCCAAAAACCACAACTCACAGAAGAAGGAGAAACCAGAAGGCTACTGACAGAGCATCATTTCTAGTAAGGAACCAGAAACCACACTGAAAAGTCAATGGTGGAGATGATGGTGGGAACTGACATAAGGATCAGTTAATCCAGTAAACGCATTGAACATTACTACTACACCCTCAGGGCCGAAAAGTGAAGGTGGCCAGCTGTAAGTCAGTGAAGGGAAAGGCATGACCATTACAGAAAACACAGATTCTGGCCATGCCTTCTCAGCTGCCATAATGAAACGGCTCCTGTCTCCATGTCTAACTTTATGCTAAGAGCTGCTACAGCAGCCCTAGTGACACAGGAAGATGCTGTGAATAGGCTGTGCCACTGACACAGGCCAGGCACATTTTCATGTTTCTACAATTTAGAATTTATCGAATAGCAATAAGCTCACAAGCTAGAGTGACTTCACTGGCTTCAACGCACCAGGTACTCTTGGGTTCCCTCAGTGGCTGTAAGCATGGCAATTGCAGCCCTTTACTCCATTCCCATCTTAATTACTAATATCTATGGCATCCAATTCACACATTAATACTTCACACAATGATACACAGATTATAGCAAGCTAATAAAGGGTTCAAAGAGGCCAAAGAATTTTGAAAGGCTGCACTGAGAGCAAAGGCAGAGAGTCATAGGTGCAAGAGTCCCGGCAGGCAGCCAACAACACAACAGCCCAAGGCCCAGGGCTGGCAGACGGAGCGGCTCGGGGCAGTTTCAGTGTCAACTTGACTCGAGCTGTGCACCATGGGCTGGAGAAACCAGTGCTTTCTTCAGGGTCAGATGTAAGGGCTTTACTGTGGCAATTTTCCTGAGCAAGGCTCATAGCAAGTGACCAAGTAACAGAGTCAGTGGTGTGCCCATAGGCAGTCTCAGGTGCCCTATCTTCAAGTATTTTAAGTGAGGAGGGTTATACCTGCTGTGGTGAATAAGCTCAT